GAGGGCAGTGCCCCCTCCAAAAAAACCTCCTAAAAAAAAAAAAAAAAAAAAGAGAGAGTTTTGTTATAGCACACATGTACTCACTGGAGAGACAGAGACAGGAAACGAGAAATCACTTCCCAGGGGTCATGGCCACGCCTCAGTCCCTTCTCCTCCATTCTCCTCTCAGGATTTGAGGGTACACACACACACACACACATACTCACACACACACACACACTCACACTCACACACGCCTGGCATGAATTTTAAGCTGCTGGGTCGGAGACTTAAACCACAATTGATTACATGGGAGTCCAGCGATGTAACCATTTCACCATCTGCTGGTCCCAGGTTGTCATTCTTTTTATGTATGAAACTTGTATTAAGCACCTATTCTTAGGCACACCCAGGCGTATGTGATTGTGAGTTGGATGGGCAGCTATGAAAGGTGAGTGAATATGGTCCTTAGAGAAGAGAGAAAGCTCAAGACGAGGGAAGAGTAACGTGTGCCGGAACCCAGGACACTCAGGGTCCAGAGACTAGAGTGAGCATTGCATACTCGGAGAGCAGGTTAGCTGTTACATAGCAGGTTAGTACAGTACGTTCAAGGGACAATATACAATATACAGTGATTTTCCTATGCAATTGGATTTTAAGGTAAAAATCACAGAGAGCTTTTTGTTGCTTTACTCTTCCTTAGGGGAACTCAGTGTAGCTAGATGAGTCAATCTAACCACGGCGACTATGTGTCGTTTTCTTTTTAAAAATAATAGTAATAGTAGTATTGTTGTCCATTGTTTGCCAGTACCAGGAATATCCTAAACATCGCGGTACTGTTGTTTTCGACATTTTCTGATGAGGAAATGAAGCTGCAGCAGGAAAGGCTGAGTTCACTGGCTTTATCAACCATGGCAGAGTCAGAACTGAAAGCCAGCCAGTTTGAGCCTGAGCCTGAGCCTGTGCTTTTACCATTTGCCCTGTTGAACTTCTTCCCTGTGGTATGCTTAATCAAGGTTCATTATTTCCAAATACAGCAGCAGGAGTGGGCACTTAGATGATGAGACTAATACATAGTTACAAGGAAATAATGTTGGTCAATACTAATGACATTTTTAAAAAAATAATTCAGTTGCAAATGAATGTTCCCTCCTAAATTATATTTGTTCAAAAATAATAAAGTCTGGGCTAGCCCTGTTGTCTAGTGGTTAAGTGAGCTGGATCCCATTTGGCTGACTGTGGTTCAAATCCTGGCCCTGGTGCCTTGAAAAAAATTCCAGGCACATGTGCATGTTTGCGCAAAATCCTGATAGGATGGAGAAATGGGGAGAAGGTATTAATTGTGGTGTGACATGCCTTGCTAGAGGGATCCTTTCTTTTTCTCCCTCTCTGTATGTCTTTGTGTGTTTCTCTGGCAATCTCACACAATTGGACAGTCTTTAAATATTTGAAGCTATATGGGACCAGCAGTTAGCATAATGGCTATGTCACTGGACTCCTATGTAGTCGACAGCAGTTTGAGTCCTGGACCCGGTGACTTAAACTCACGCCGGGCGTGTGTGTGTGTGTGTGTGTGTGTGTGTGTGTGTGTGTACGTGCCCAGGATCCCAAGAGGAGAATGGAGGTGAAGGGATTGCGGTGTGGCCATCCCCCTTGGGGGGTGATTTCTCACTTTCTGTCTCTCTCTCTCTCTCTGTGTGTGTTTCTGGCAAGTGCAGTAGCAAAAAGCCTCTCCAAAAATAAAAAAAAATTTTTGAAATATAAAGGTGATTTCATCAAAGGCCCTTAGGCTATAATAAAATGCCTTTATGTTTATGGGATTTTGAAGGTTAAGATTTTCCTCATTTTTGTCATGAATCTTGTCACTGAATGAGGTGTTTTAATAAAGAAACTTGTATGTCTGCAAGTACTTTGAATCAATCTATCTTTCTTTCTTTCTTTCTTTCTTTCTTTCTTTCTTTCTTTCTTTCTTTTTAATTGCAAGAGGCTGCATATACTTGCCAGAGAGACAGAGGGAAAAGCACCTTCAATGGTCACACTGTAATCACTTCTCCATTTCTCTATCCTATTGGGATCTGGGACACATACATGATCAGTGTTTTGGTGCCCCACCCCCCCAAGACTCTGGGGCAGGGATTCAAATCACAGTTGACCTTAGGGGACCCTGCTCCGTTAAGGATGAGGCTGCAGAGCTGGCCCCTTTTGAATTTTGTCTTTGAAAAATGTTTACACAAATACAGTTTTTTTCAGTGGGAAATACAGTTTCACACCAAATGTAGTAATTCATGTAATGTTTGAAATAAAATTTGAATTTGACCCCCAAAAAAAGTAATGAAAATACTATGCATTAAAATGTGCCTAAGATGAAAAGACAATCTCCCTAGCTAACTAAGAATCATCTAATTTTTCACTTGGTAATAATGATCAGTTCTTAGAAGTGACTTCTTCTTTTCAGGGAGCTTATCAATTTCTTTTTCTCAAGAAAATATAAGAGTTAAGTGCACTCTGCTATATCCATTTTGCTTCTCTTCTACTACGTAGCTTCTTTTTGGTTTTTCACTATGTTATGATTTCAACCCCCCCACCCCACCCCACCCCCTGCCGCCTCAGCCTCTCAGCTGGCGCTATAAGTGCTTATCACCTGCCGCTTCAGCCTCCCAGCTGGGACTATAAGTGCTTATCACGATGCCCAGCTGTTTTCCAGACAAGGTCTTGCTCTGCTGTCCCAGCCAGCCATGTGCTGCCAGTCCTGCCTCTGTGCCCGAGCTGCTGGCAGCGCAGGTGCACCCCACCATTCCTGGCCTTTCGGTTGGCCTAGGAGCCAGATCTGTGTCTCCCACGTGGTCTCGGCCTGTGTGGACAGTGTCTGAGCACATACCACTGAGCAGGATCTAGCTTTTGTTTTTAAAGGCATGATCTAGTTCTAAGATTGCCTTAGAATTTCATATAAGAATTAATAAATTACCTTACTTAAAATTTGTGTTCATTGTACATGTGGTAAAATGATCGAATCTTGTGATGACCATGTCAGGATTTATTGTTTCTCTTTATTCATAGGTACATTTGACATTTTATTCTTAAGAAAGGAACTGTCCAGCATTAGAGTGGTTTTAGAACTGTGTTTGCAGTAATAGTATGTTGGGCCAGCCCCGTAGCTCAGTAGTTAAGGAGACATATTCCACATGACCAGTCATGGTTCAGGGCCGCCCCAGCAGCTTGCAAAACACGCCAAGCCTGTGTCCATGTGTGCCCACGGGCACCAAGTATGTACATGCCCAAGTCCCAGTAGGGTGGAGAAATGGAGGAGATGGATTCCACCATGACCATGCCCCTGCTGGAGGGTGCTTTATCTCTCTCTTTCCCATCTGTCTCTGGCAAGCACATACAACCTCTAGCAATGAAGAAAAACAGTATCTATATCAGCTGTAATTATCAATAAATTTTTTTTCACATGTTGGCTGGTGTAGGAAGTTTGTGTATGTTCCTTAATTTAGACAGATGCTTCTCAAATTCCAAAACCCAACAAACCAAGTAATCGTGGTTTGTTATTTTTGCCTTGATTTTATATCAGGTCGGTAGTGTTAGTACAACTCTATGTGAACTGTAAGACATGTGTAGCCATTTTTCCCTACCTTACCGCCCGTGTCTCTCGTTTCTCTTCTTGTAGCGCTACGTTGCTGTTGGAGAACTGGGGAAAGCTACCGACACGCTGGATTCCACAGGGAAAGTAACGGAAGAAAAACCTTACGGTAGGAAGGGTATCTCGTATAGTCCTTTTTTTTTTTTTTTTTTTTTTAGCATTTAGAGAAAGTTCCTGTGAGCTCAAAATTTTAAAATAAATCTCTGGTTTGATAGTACTAGTGATTTTAGTTCTCAGTATATTTCTTTTGGTTCAGAAGATTGGAAATGATCACATTGTGGCTTATTTGGGATGTGTTTATGAATAAAGATTTATTATAAGTACTTCTTTTCCCATAATAAATTCTTCCCATGTTCAGAATTATTTCTCTGAATAACTCCCTTGCCAGAAACATTTATATCTAGGATGTAGGATATTCCCTAGTAAGTGAGAAACAAAGCAGATGTGCTCTCGTGTTAGATCTTGTCTGTATCTTGCCGTTTCTTTTTCTCCTTAAACCTTTAGGTCTCAGCCGTTGAAGTAAATGTGCCAGGTTTAGTATTTTAAAAGTAATCATTGGGTTGGGTGGTGGTACAGCAGGAAAATGAGACTCTGCAAGACTGACCCATTGGGAAGGTTCTCGGTTTGCGTTAAGACCTCCCTGGTCATGCTGGGCACACTTGTTCAACCCCTGATCTAAGGCTAGCGGAGCAGGGTGGATTGTGCTGTTAGGACTCTTTGGGGGGTGCTGTGTCTCTGTCTGTCTGCCTTATGGAAGAAATAAACTTTAAAGAAACTAATCATGGTGACCAGCAGATGACATGATAGTTGTGTTGCTGAACTCCCATGTAGTGGACCGCAGTTCAAGTCCCAGATCTGGCGGCTTAAAACTCATGCTAGGTGCATGCCTAGAATCCTGAGAGTATAATGGAGGAGAAGGGATGACGGCGTAGCCATCCTTTCTGGGGGGTGATTTCTTGCTTTTTGTCTCTCTGTCTCTCCAGCAAGTGCACGTGCCCTATAGCAAAAATCTCTCTCTCAAAAAAAAAAAAAAAGAAAAAAAAAAAAAAAAAAAAATCTTGGGACCACCAGATGGCATGTGGTTACATCACTGAACTCCCATGTGACTGACCGCGGCTTGAGTGCCAGACCCGGTGGCTTAAAACTCAGGCTGGGCGCATGTGTGTGGGTGTCCAAGATCCCAGGAGGAGAATGGAGAAGGGATAGCGTGGCCATTCCCCCGGGGAGTAATTGCGTGCTTTTGGTCTGTCTCTCTGGTGAGCACAGGCACCCTTTAGCAAAATCTCTTTAAACATTTTTTAAAAAACCCAAACTAGTCATGTCCCTGTGCTTTTGGAGTATGTAAAAAGATGTAGCTGAGGGCAAGCTACTTCTCTGGAAGTAAAGTAGAACTCATTGGAGTCCCCCTTCATTTTTCTACCTTTCCTTTTTTTCACAACTTTAAGAAAAGATTCATAAATGAAATGGTCTCCCAGCAACTCTCACAGAGTTTATGCTGTTTACAGTGCAGTAGTTCACTTGCATTATCTTGTCAACTGTTGTGAATTATTTGTATGGTGTCTGATTTTTCCTTTGTGTTTAATGTTATCACTTTCTAATTCGGCTGTAGGCAGTCTAACATCTGGTCTCCCCATGTTTTTGTATTGATTTCCTTATTATATATTACATATTATCCCTATGGTAAAACCAACCTTCTTCTCATGCATAATAGCTTCATTTATCCTGTTAACATTTATATGTAGCTTAGTATCCTGCTTGATTAATCAAGCACTATAATGGAAAGAAAAGTCACTGATTAATTTCAAGTCTTTTTAAAAATAGATATTAAATTATCTTTGAAATTTTTATTATCATCAAATAATTGAAATCCAACTGTAACCTTTAATCAGAATACTTTTAAGATTAAAGAGGTGGAGGGACCAACAGATGGCATAACGGTTAAGTTGCTGGACTCCCACATAGTCGGCCATGGTTTGAGTCCTGGACCCAGCATCTTAAAACTCACCCTGGGCACATGTCCATGTGTGCCTAAAATCCCATGGGGAGAATGGAGGATAAGGGATTGCAGTGTGGCCGTACTTAAATCGTTGTGAATGCAACAAGTACAGCTGCAGACTGATGCTGTATTAATGACTTAATACTAAAAAAAAAATCAGTGTATGTTAAAACTGGGCAAAAAATGCTTTGTGTTTAAGCATAAAATGGAGTTAAAGTCTAGCCTCAGGTAATTACCATAAACAGGCTTTTCACCTGCATGATCTGGCAGGCTTTCAGAAGTCAGGCAGTACACAGGGCAGTTCTCCAGTGTCCCATCATCTTGCACATTGCAGGGCATGTGGTTTCCCTGTCTCTACTCCACCCAGACATTGTAACAACCGAAAACATAATTCTTAGTTGAACTCTCAAGGACAATGTGTGTTCAGATAAAGTAAGGCAGTATACAGTCAATGACAAATGAATGCTCTGAAGTCATTTTGTCCCATCTAGGCAAGTAGTGCTTTTAGTGTTTCAGAGCTGAACGTTAGCACAGAGGAATAAGAAAATGAGTCTTTGGCTTCTTAGACTTAAAGTTCAAACTATATTAGCATAGTCCTTCCCATAATATCCTACCTCGTTACTAGATAGTGCTTTTCACTGTTTACAAATACATATTGTATTTGTTGATCCCGTAAGCCAGCAGTCCCAACCTTTTTGACACCAGGGACCAATTTTGTAGAAGACAATTTTTTCATGAGCAGGGGTGGGGAGGAGGGAATGAGTTCAGGATGACTCACATCACATTTATTTTGTACTTTACTTATATCATTATTATATGTAATATATAGTGAAATAACTAATCTAATTCACCATAATGGAGTGTTTACAGCTATTTCCCAGCAGTAGCATCACTACCTCAGTTCCATATCAGATCATCAGGCATTAGAAGCATGTAAGGAGCGTGCAACTTAGATCCCTCACATGTGCAGTTCACAGTAGGGTTCACGCTCCTATGAGAATCTAATCCTGCAGCTGATATGACAGGAGGCAGAGCTCAGGCAGCGAAGCTGGTGATGGGAAGTGACTGTAAATACGGATGAAGCTTCGCTCACTCACCTGCCGCTCACCTCCTGCTACTCGGGCCACAGACCAGTTATCAGTATTGGTCCATAGCCCAGGAGTTGGGGTGTCCCTGCCTTAAGCTGTGAAGTTAAAATCATGACTCTTGGATCTTCACTGTCTTTTGGTGTAATATGTGGCATATGGAACAAAACATTTAGTGTTTAACTAATAAGATGAGCGACAGAGGTGTTCTCAGAAGATGACTGTAGGTTAAGTCCAGAGAAAGGCAAAGCTTCTTCTTATCTTTGCTGCTCTTTTCTCGTCCTCATCTAGGTGGTAAGTCTCAGAACTGACGCCTGTCACTTGGGGGAAACACAGGGTCAGTGTGCTCATCTGTTCTTTAGTGAGCCCAGAATGTGAGGGATGTAGCTTTCCAGGCTAGTCGTGGGCCAAATTTCTGGAAAAGCATAGCTACTCCTGTATTAGGGGTGTTTTCTGACCCTCCTTTGGCTTATCCTGAGGCAAAAAAGATGTAAAGGCAGGGTAGGATCTCATGTCAGTCCCGTTTCAAACACCACCACCCCTTAGTCCTGACTTGAATGGAAGGTCTTCTCAGATGGCTGTAGTTAATATTCTTATGGAAGTGGCTCCTCTGGGACTGTGCGGTTTGGCTGTCCACACTTCAGAGGCTCATCCTGGAGGAAACTGAAGAGTTGAACTGGGTTTCAAACTGTGATTAAACAACTAGGGTACACACTGTAGTAGGGCTAGTGTGTAGCTGGGTGTCAATCTTCTTATGGTACCTTTTTTTAAATTAAAGTTTTTCGTTATAAAGTATTATACAAATAAATAAAAGTGAACAAAAAATAAATGTACTACTAAGTGTATCACAAAGCAAATACCCATGTAGCTATCACTGTAGTCAAGAAATAGAAGATTGCTAGAAACCACTCTCCCACCCCATCCCAGTCACTACCATATCCTGCTTTTCCAAGGATACTAACTTCCAACACTATGGTTATAGCCTAAATGGTACTATGGTATGGTTTGCTGATATTTGAACTTTATCTAAATGCAATTTCAACAGTATGTATCCTTTTATATGTGATTTCTTGATAGACATTTGAGTCATTCCCAGTGTGGGGTTTTATGAATAAAGCTGTTATGTATATTTCATGCCTGTTCTTTGGTAGACGTATGTACTCATTTCTCTTACATATATAACCTAAGTAGAATTGCTGGGGTATAGGGTAGATGTGTATTTTATTGTACTAGGAATTGTCAAATAATTTTTCAAAGTGGTTTATGAGTTGCACATTGCATTTCCACCAGCAATATCTAAGAATTCTACTTGCTCCACATCCTTGGCAATACATAGTATTAAAGTGTTTTTAATTTTGGCATGCAGCCAAGTACATAGTTTTATTTTAATTTGATGACTAATAAGATTCAGCACTTTATCATGTTTGTATTTGGCTCATTAGCTATCTTCTTTTCTGTGTTATCTATTCAGGCCTCTTTTCAATCCACCCCTTGCCCCCTGAATTTTTTTTTTCTTTCCCTGTTTTGCCTTTTTCTTACTGGTTTGTATGAGATCTTTATGTCTTTGTATTTGTACTCTTCTTTTGGTTATGTGTGTTGCAGATATTTTCTCCTACTCTGTGGCTGGACTTTTCCCCGTTTTACTTGTGAGTCTTAAAAAAGTTCTTAGTCTTAATTTAATCCAGTTTATCAATTCTTTTCACTTATGGTTAGTCCTGTCAGTGTCCTGTTTAAGAAAACTTACCCCCAAAAAGCACAAAAGTATTTTCCTGTTTTCTAGAAGTTCTTATAGCTTTGCCTTTCTCATTACATCTATAGCCCATTTTTCCCCATAGAAATGTCCAATTGATTCAGCACTTTTCCCCATTATTCTGCATTGCCTTTTTCGTCATAAATCAAGCACCATTTAGGCATCAGTTTGTTTGGAATCTGTTTTGTTACATTGACTGATTTGACTATCCATATGCTAAAATCATACTGTTTTAATTGCTATAATTTTAGACTAAGTCCTGTTATCTGGAGAAGCAA